TTAGAAATATTACAGTATATGTTACATATTCTATAATACTTTTCCATCTGGGTGAAGAATCGGAACGCAGTTTACAATGATAGAATAATAAAAACCGTGCGTTCATTGCGAATATATTTCAACGTAAAATTCTGATATCTTAAAGTAATACTTTAAAGTAATACACGTTATGAACTGCATGTGACCCTCACATAGTTTAAAGCACAGATAACTCAGAATCCCAGCCTTTATGGCATATTTTAAAATAAAAAAAAACTCGAGAGAGATGTGTGACTTCTTCTATATATATAATTATCCAATTTTATATAATTATATATCTTCCGTTTTGTCCTCGGGCGATCTCGTGAGGTGCTCTGTCGTAGAAAATCGCCATTTTCTACGTTGTGGCAATTATTGATCGGCAATTTTTCGCTCACTACTCGCGAGACTACTTCGTTCTCACCGAAGTCTCGATGTGATCGAGAGCGGAAATCACTCCTCGTCCGAGGACGACGGACGAGTGAAGCCGAGGGATAGAAGATAAAGAAGAATGGACCGAGTAAAGGTCCTCGTTGACGAGAAGCGCGTTGAAACGTAGTCCTAACTTCGTGAGCGCGAAGACGCGCGTCGCCTCTTCTGACGCCTGCAGTCTCAACGTCGGTGACGCTCTCGCGCGGTATTACGCCACTCCTGATCGAGATGTCGTTAATTGAGAATGGCAGTGCCATATATTTCTAACGTTCGCTTTTTACGTGTACGCGTTGAGCCTACGTGGCGAGCCTACGCTCCTCGAGCTCACTCTATTATCTACGAGTACCTGGACGTTCTGAACTCATGAGCGTGCTTGACACTATCTTAAATGGCACTACTATAATTGTGCTGTTCACTGAGTTCGTAGAGATTTTCATGGAAAACTCTAAAATCCTCATTCTGAATTTTTTTATCGATAAAAGTGCCCCTGAAAATGGGTTACAAGCCTTCTGATTGATAGAGATGTGCGAATCAACAATTTTTTATGTCGAATCGAATTGTATCTTAGATTTTAATTTCGAATTCGAATCGAATCGATGAAATTTCACTCGAATCGAATCGTTGAAAGAATTTTTAATTAACATAATCATTGAATTCAACATGAAAATAGTGACTTCAGTATAAGAGATATAACATTGATCATGTAATATCAATTCATTTTTAAGGTAAGAGATATATAATATACATGTAGTTGATAAACGTGTATAGAATACAGTTCCAGCCTTGAAAGCTGCGCAACGACACATCGATCCGACAGTCGTCAGTAAGAGTTTATCTAAAAGCCATTATCTTCTTTTAAGGAGATATTCTAGTGTGAAGATCATTTTCAAGACCCGATTTTTGGGAATTAATTTTAAGCAAATGGTTAAACCTACAGAGTTAATGTTTTGTACTGATATTTATTTATCTTTGAAGAAACATCTTAAATTTTTCAAAGCTTTTTATTCAAAATTGAGGAAAATACAAATGGACGAAACAGATCCCGCCGTCTTCCATCGGACGTGTTGATTGCCGCCGTTCTCCTCGTTTGAAATAAACGAATTTGCTTTTATTTTGTTCTTTATGAATGTGATTATCGCCCGAACTAGAATCTTTCTGGTATTTTTAAAATTACTATTTTTCCGGACCGCAAAAAGTTAGAATTTTTTAGTAAAATTCAGACTACTATTTTTCAAACACTGCCATTTTGTCAATTTTTCTCCAAATTATTTCATTCTACTTCGAGCGATAGACACATTCATAAAGAGCAAAATAAAAGCAAATTCGTTTATTTCAGATGACAAGGACGGCGGCAATCAACTCGCCCGATGGAAGACGATTTTACGGCGCGTGACCTGTTTCGTCCACTTATATTTTCTTCAATTTTGACTAAAAGGCTTTGATAAAATTTGAGATGTTTCTTCAAAGATGAATAAATGTCAGTACAAAACATTAACTTTGTAGGTTTAACCATTTGCTTAATTCCCAAAAATTGCCTTGAAAACGGGCCTTCACACTAGAATACCTCCTTAATATTTTTGAAGAAAATCTTAATGTATGAAAATGTAAACTTTTCAAGTCATGCTAATTCCCGTAAGGCTGGATGTCTTTAATAGTACTTCGTTAATGCTAATGTGTGCGATTCGTATTCAAAACTTTTCGATTCGAAATTTTCGAATTATTCGGATTCGAATCATAGGGATTCGAAATTGAATCGATCGAATTCCACTTGATTCGATTCGATTCGAATAGCTTCGCACATTACGACTGATTGACTATGAGTCATCTTTGGAAGCACTTTTATAAATAAAAGAGAGTTGAGAAGAAAAGCCAAAGTCGATGCTTCTCAATCAGGCATAACTTTATTTCTTAATCCTCTGGCGGTCAATACAGTATTTAATAAAGTTATGCCTAATTATAAAAGTATCAGTCTTGGGTCCTTGATTCTTGATTCTTCGTAAAAATCCTTACGAATTTATCGAGCAACCCAATAAGAATAAATGTATCCAATTATCGATGTGTTCGCAACAAAATGAGATAACTGCCGCTTTTTTCCCGCACGATAATAGCTAGCTCAGGTTGAGCGTTCTTTCAGGCGCCAGATGAAATTCTCGGATAAGTCGGATTGAATTGTAACCAATAACCGGCACTATGATACTACCCGGATAGCACGCATCATTTAAAAACTTTTTTGAAACGTTTTACAAGCGATTATAAATCGTGTTACATACATTTAGAAAACCTACATGAAACTAATATGTGTTATTGCGCCCCAATATGTGGATATTGCGTTTCATTGAGTACAAAGTATAATTGCACGGAGAAAACGATTCAGTTGTATTAACGTGAAATTTGGTTTCAATGAACGGGTCAATGCATTTTGGTTGAAAGACAAAATTTCTGATTCTTATGACCCAAATTTAATTCTAAAAACTTGAAATTCCGTTTCCTTTAACCAAAGCGCGTTAGTTCATTTTTTACAACCAAATTTTCTTCTTCGTGTGTTAATTAAAAATATAATAGAATAAAACACTAATTATTGACACTCAATTATTGATTCCCTTCTTATTGACAAGAAGAAACCAGGTTTTTCTAGAGTGTCAATGACTAAGGGGATGTCAATAATTGGGTGTTTCACTAAATTGCACTTGGTATACAGTGAATAGTCAATGAAACAAGGCGGAAGATATGTACATTTCGAATTACATTTCTTTACCGTGTCTTTGGTAATTCAATTACCAATTGGACTTTTGCCGTGCTTAATCCTTTCATCCGCTGGCTCGCTGGCGCTTTGAGGAACGGGAATAGAACACGTCGTGTCAACGGGATCTGTCTGCGACGTTGAAGCGACACGTGCGACTCTGTAAAAGTCGCGAATTTTTGCAGCAGTCGCGTGTATCCGTGGCAAATTCCGAGTAATTGTCGTCGTTCACATCGACGTTACTTCAGACATGTTCTACGGCTTTGCGAAGCAAACTTGTTTTCTTTTTATAGTGTCGCTCGAGTGGTTTCTCCTCTTCTTTTCTTCTGTATATTGCACACACTATTTCGCATAGCGTTAACAAAGGAATTACAGAATTACAGACAGTAGACAATATCGTAAACGATTTACAGACAGTAGACCTTATGTAGAACATCTTTCGACATGCGGAAAGTGTTTCACATAGATTTCGACGAGGCACTGTTCAGAGTTCATACTAAAAACAATAACAAGTATTTATATTTATCGTAATACACTTCGCGCGGCGTGTCTCTCTCGCGTACTATAGCATTTAATTACATAGTGAAAATAAATCTTTCTTCTCTCTTACCGTTTTATATGACGCGTGGTATTATTTAATCTTTATAATTCACTTTAGGCTATATATATATATATATATATATATATATATATATATATATATATATATATATATATATATATATATATATATATATATATATATATATATA